TATCAGTTTATCTCGCCCTTAGATGTACCCTGGTGCAATTATCGGAAATTGAGTTTTAACAAAAAAAAAAAAGGTTTTAAAAGAGATTGAGTGTTGGATTTAAAACTCATAAGATGCATCCAAGTAAATCGAGTAAAATCATCAACAATGGTAAGGAAATAACCAGCCAACAAAATGTGAGGGAATTTTATGTGGTCTCCAAAGATCACAATAAATCAAATCAAAAGGTGCAATAGTTTTTATTGAACTTGAATAAAAAGAGAAACGAACATGTTTGACCGAGGGACAAATCTCATAAATACATTTAAAAATGAAGATAATATTTGGGAAAGATTTGGATAAGGTGTGAAAGGGGGCGTTAGATGGATGTCCAGGACGTTGGTGCTAGAGGTTGGAGGTGTGACTTACGTGTGAAATAAAAGAGATGACCTAATGTTTTTAATGGTGGTTGGTTCCCCATTTGATAATCCAATAAAATCATGAGGTGCCTTATTTATATTGCTAGTCTATGAAAAATGTGATACATGATCTGTTGCTCCACTACCAACAATCCAAATCTAACGAAAATGCTTTATTCTATTGCAATTAGGTAGAAATATACTTGTTGCATTTATAGATGATTGATCGTTACCATTTTTACTTTGGATTAAGGTCGTTATCTGCTTGTATTCTTCAACTATAAAGGTTGGGCTTTCATTGGTTGGTTCTTTTTTCATCTTAACGTGTAAGCTGCTGCCTTTCTATTTCTCGACTTCATCTATTTCCCATGTCATTTGGCTCATTGGAAATCCAACCAAATTAAAGCAACGATCTACTGAATGTCCTCCTTGATCACAATAAGTACATTGTAGGTCTTTTCAATTAGAATAATGATTGGTTGTCTGTTTTGGCGTTGCAACTTGCATAGCATGAGATAATGGTGGAGTTTTCCTATGCATGACGACTTCTATTTGCCTCTCTTGTTGAAGGATTAATCCATAAACTTTTCATGTATCCGGAAGTGGACTCATCATCAAGATTGATCCACGAACCTGAGAATAAACTTAAGTCCCATTAAAATTTTCATTACCTTTTCTTTCTCCTCTCTGATAATAACTTCCTTCAACATGTTGCAAGTGCATGCAATGGATTCATGATAAGATCCCAATTCATCCTAAAGTCTTTGAGTTTGGTATAATAGGCTGAGACTGAAAGGAACCTTTGACGACATCAACAATTTTTTGTCGTATTTGATCATTGATTAATCTCATTGTGAAAATTGTCATGGAGTTTGCTCCAAACTACTGTTGTATATGAAAAAATAACGCTTTGAGCTATGACAGGTTGAATGGAATGGAGGATCCATGAAATTACCAAGTCATTGCAACATTTCCATATTAAGAATCTTTCATCAGTTGTTGCTGGCGCTTCCACAAATCCATCAATAAGCCAAGTTTGTTGTTGGCACTGAAACTAAGGAGTATTGAACGACTCCATTGTCCATAGTTGTGTCCGTCCAATGATGTAGTAACCAAGACAAGTCATGGTGTGTCTAAATGGTGCAAGAATAAAGGATTTAGGAATTTAATCCCTTTTTCCACTATATCTTACTGTTGTGGTTTTTGTGGTTTCTCACTTGTGTCACTCATGTTGATGAATGGATAAAATTTTGGTTAAAGTTTGTGGCAGAAGGTGTAGGGCTAAAGGCACCAAGAAAAGTAGCGTTTTAGAAGATGGAAGAATATATTTTTGTGTATTATCTTACTATACATGGGTGTCATTATATAAAGATGACATAAAGCTAATTTAGCTAATTAAAAAATTAAGGAAAATAATTATATATAATAAAAAACAAATATTCTAGATCCACAATTAGCTCCAACCCTACCACAAGTGGCTTAAGCAACCCTTTCAAGAACAAGCACCTCATAAACATACACGGCAATACCTAGTATACACACACAAAGAATCACTCAAGGGGAAGAAGATGAGACTTACCTTGAAGGTCAAGGCTTTGGATAGAGAGAACTTGTTCTACATCTAAAGTGAAACACTCCACAAGTTTGAAGCAGCAATGCTCACGGTTTTGGGAGCAAAGAGGAAAGTTCAATGACTATTCCATTCATCAATAATCCAACCTCTCAAATATACAAGATGAAGCCTATTTATAGGCATATTGAATTTCCCAAAAATGAAAGGAAAAAGAATTTAACTAAACCAGACTAAAATAGTTACAAATTGAGTCCAAAGGAAGGGTAAGAAAAAGAAATATAAAGAAACACAAATTTAAGGTTTAAACTCTAAATAAGCCCTAAATAATATTTAAAATGGAGTCTTCGACTTTGGGTATTCCAATTTGGTTTGTAGCTTCTTTCTTAATATGGTCTTCTTCCTCCTTAAGCTTAACATTCCAAATGTTAAAGTGGAGTTCCTCTTTGTTGCACTCTAGCTTGGCCGTAAGAAGTAAGTTTTGAACTTGCTTGTTGATGGAGTCTTGAACTTGCTTGTTGATGGAGTCATGCACCATTTTGGCTTGCAACCTTGTGATCGGTCCTCTTGGTAGTGTTTGGTCTCCTTGATGCAATCATTTATCCTATAACATTTTGGAGGTTGAATTTTTCAATAAAATCTTAATAACGTTTGTAGTTCATATGAGTGAAGTGTCGTTGTCTTAAGAGCGCCCTTGATAGATTTAACCTATATGAGTGGTGTAAACCAAAAGAAAATTCTTATTAAAGTGAATGTTGACCTTTAAATGAATACAAAGCCTAAAGGAAATAAGAGAACTAGATGTTGGGTATAAATAACTAACCAAAAGACTAACCAATATAACTTGTCTAACTAACTTAACAAAGTTAGCTACATCAATGAGCGTGAGAGTGGAGCCTCTCTCACACTAATGAAATATTTGGACTAGCACAAGGATATAACGTGCTAACCATTAAAGTTCATGTCAATACGTATG